ACTTGCTGCATTAGCTGCTGGAAGACAAAAGAACCCACGTTTGCTGGCGAAGAAAGCTAGAGAAGAAGCTGAAGCAAAGGAAGAACAAAAAGCTAAAGAAGCTGAAGCAAAGAAAGAGTAAATGGTTTATTTTTATCCGAATTAAATGTATAGACAAATACCTTTATCTGTTGCGTTCAGTAGTGAAAACCCTGACGTCAAAATAAAGGGGAACAGAGTAACGTTTAAGTTTCCAACAGACTGGATTGTGAACATAAATGAAGAGAAGTACATTGGCATAACATCTATGTATATAACACGTGCTTTCAGAAAGGTTGACTTTATACTTCAAGTCGAGATAGAAAATGACGAACAGTCTTTAAGCGCCCAAAACATTCACATATACAAATACTTTAAAGACGATACAACATTGCAACAATGTATGATTTCATTTAATGAGATGTTCGAGAAAAAGTTCAACATTGAAGTACAAACTTTACAGCCTTTACGTGAGTTTCTTGCACAACTGAAAGAAGAAGGTAGTCAGCCACAACTTATAGACTTTCATTATGAATTTAATGAAAATGAAGATGGAACTCATGACTGTCAATTCATTGTATTCTCACCATTCAATGAAGTCGCTAAAGAGAAAAAAAATCCATTACGTATAAGGTTTCAAATCTCCGAACCAAGTGATGATTTTAAGAATGTTTTCAATTATGATGCAATGCTTCCGAGGAAAAATGAATTTTCAAAGATTGTAACACCTGGCATTTGGGATAGAAAGCAAGCTATATTATATTCAAACTTAAGTAAAGGAGTTGAAAATGAGTTCATTGGTCATACAAGAACTTCACCACTTCCTAACCCTAAATACTATAAATTAACTGGCTTCAATCGTGAGTTTTGGATAGACATGTTCTCCACTCATGACCATAAATGTCCGGTGTTCTTGCTCCAGACCATAAGGACTGTCTCTACATTGAAGCACAACTCTTAAACTCTACCATCGCAGTATTGTAAAATCTACGCTAGCTTTATTTTTATCACGAATGACCTCATTGCTGACAAAAATAAGCCGCTAGCGGCAAGGGCGAAGCCCATGACCTCAGAACTTCAACTTACGAATAAAGCTCTTCATCCTCATTACTGAGTAAAATGACGTATGGCAGGTGTCAAACCGTTGAGTTTTCACAAAATTTAAAAATAACGTTAGTTTTATTTTTATTTATTTTTTATTTTGTATGTAAAGACAGATGTACGCTGAACTTGTTGGTCAAGATGTATGGAAAGAATGTTTACAAGATGAAGAGTATGAAATTCACTGTTCTGAGCCTTTTGAAATAAGGAAGAAAGAAACCAAGAGAATTATACATGAATATAACAGAGGAACAGGTTATATTTGTGTAACATTAAACCTCAAAAAGTACCAAAAACATGTTCTCATAGCTACTCATTTTATTTCCAATCCGAACAATTTACCGTGTGTGGACCATATAAACCATCAAAGAGACGACAACAGAATCTCAAACCTTCGTTGGTGTTCTAAATCTGAAAACAATAGAAATAAAAGCAAGTATGGCGATATAGTTTATGAGTTCGTTGATGAAATATCTGACGAAGCTGTTGAAATAACATATTATGGTAAGCATTCGTTTGAGTTCTACTACTATGTTGAGAATGAGGACGCATTCTATTATTATACAGGTCTTAACTATCGAAAACTTCATATAAACTTTACAAAAACAGGTGCTGCTTATGTTTGTATGATAGATACAGAAAACAAGAGAGTAATCTTATGCATAAACAAATTCAAACGCTTGTACGGCTTCATGTAGGACAAACATTATTTTTCAACACTAACGCCAACACGTAGGACAAACATTCATGACTAACATTACTGTATAACATAAATGTTTTGTTATGACCTCATCGTAAATGACTTCTTCATCGTAAATGACTTTGTCAAACATGAGCGTAAATGAATGTGTCGAAACTTCTTCATCGTACATGTTTTGTCATGATTTCTTCATCGTAATGAGCGTACATGTTTTGTCATGATTTCATCGTACATGCTTTGTCGAACTTAAACGTTAATGTTTTCACTGCTACATGCATGATGCTACCATGTGCTACCAGGTCATTTAACTTCTCTGAAAAATGATGACAACTGACATTTTGACAACAGTTCAGGAGGAAGGTAGTTATGAATTATTTTTTGAAGAACTGGAGGTGCTACCCATGCTACCATGTGCTACCAGGTCATTTAACTTCTTTTAAAAATGGTGACAACTGACATTTTGACAACAGTTCAGGAGGAAAGGTAGTTATGAATTATTTTTTGAAGAACTGGAGGTGCTACCATGCTACCATGTGCTACCAGGTCATTTAACTTCTTTTAAAAATGGTGACAACTGACATTTTGACAACAGTTCAGGAGGAAGGTAGTTATGAATTATTTTTTGAAGAACTGGAGGTGCTACCATGCTACCATGTGCTACCAGGTCATTTAACTTCTTTTAAAAATGGTGACAACTGACATTTTGACAACAACACAGGAGGAAGGTAGTTATGAATTATTTTTTGAAGAACTGGAGGTGCTACCATGCTACCATGTGCTACCAGGTCATTTAACTTCTTTTAAAAATGGTGACAACTGACATTTTGACAACAGTCCAGGAAATAAATTTTATCGTTAATGTTTACGTTTATGTTTACGTTAATGTTTACGTTTATGTTTACGTTTATGTTTACGTTAATGTTTACGTTTAAATGTTTACGTTAATGTTTACGTTAATGTTTACGTTTATGTTTACGTTAATGTTTACGTTAATGTTTACGTTAATGTTTACGTTTATGTTTACGTTAATGTTTACGTTTATGTTTACGTTAATGTTTTCACTGCTACCATGCTACCATGTGCTACCAGGTCATTTAACTTCTTTTAAAAATGGTGACAACTGACATTTTGACAACAACACAGCAGGAAGGTAGTTATTAATTGTTTTTATTTTTTTATTCCTATATAAATGACAGCAACAAACAACAACAGCAACTATATCGTTTCTGATGAAAAATCATTGATTCATTAGCTGAGGAATTAGTTGTGGCAGAAACTAAAACCCTCAACGAAAGAATTGGTGAAAACAAGATTGATTTACATAACTACCTCAAACATGATGGAGGAAGAGGAAGGAAAACTGGTATGGCTTTATTAGTAAATAAAATTCAAATTTAACGATTATAGATGTTGATATCAATAAATCATACAATGATGAACTTAAAGAAACAGTTAGAAAAGACATTTTATCAAAACTTTCGGATAAAGATGTTATCGTTAAAACCGCTTCAGGAGGTCTTCACATTTATTGCAACACTAATTTCTTCTATTCAACCTCGAACAGAATGATTAAATGTTATTCCTGCAATGATTATGATATTGATATAATGACTTCAATGGATGATTCAAAGCGTTCATTAGTGGTTATGGCTGATTCAAGAGTTCGCAAGAATGCAACAGAACCAATCAAAACATACTCATTCATTCGTGGAAGTTATGATTCAACATTAACTAGAACAGTAAACGATATATTAAATGATTTGAATATTAAGGTAAGAGTTGAACAGAAGAATGAAGAAATAAAGAGTATAATGAATGAAAACAAAGATGTAAACATTGATGATAAACTAGCTCAAAGCATAGTTGATGGCATCTGTGATTTTGAAGTACATAATGACGGTGGAAACATGAATTTAGAAAAAGAAGTTACATTATTCACACTGTTTCAAGCTATTAATTCGTTACCTAATCATTTAATTAATGAAGCATACGATAACGTTTATAACTTCTGCAATTTAACTGAAAATGCAAAAAGTAATTTTGAAAAAGCACGTAATAGATATGCACATTTAATGACTTCTCCATTTGTTTTGGTGAAGATTCTAAAACTATATCAAAAGGAATATTATGATGAATATGTTTTACCTTTATTACGTAAGCCAAAAATAACATTTGATATCAAACTTGACGACTCGTTTTTGATAACAGATATTAGACGCAAGGCTGAAAATCATCAGTATAAAAACAGTTCTGAAGTAATTGAGGATTTATCACGTGTAATCCGTTTTGTAGATTGTGGAAATAAATATTTCATTCAGAAAGATTACAACATACACGACAAAATGAATCAAATATCATTTGTTCTTCAATCAAACATGAAAGAGTCACTTAAAATGATTAAATTATTTAAAGAAGAAGGTAAAACCATAACAGCATGGGATGTACTACTAAATCAATTATCCTCATTAACCGTTAAGGGTGTTTGCTTTAAATCTGATTCCCCCATGTTTTCTCAACGTTTCATGGTTATAAATACAACATTCTTGAAAAGCCTGATTACTCAAAAATTGAGATGTTTATGAATTTCATTAAAGAAGCCATTTGTGATAATAACGATGAAGTGTATAAATACCTTCTCGGCTGGATTGCATCAATGATTCAACATCCAGGAATCAAGAATGAAACAGCAATTATTTTGAAAGGACTTCAGGGAACAGGTAAAAACAGATTTACAGACATTATTTCTGAACTCCTCGCTGGTTATTCATGTAAAAACATTACTGAAATAAGTGAGCTAACGGGTAATTTCAACTCAGTAGTTGAAAATAAAATGTTTCTTGTACTTAATGAACTCAAGAATGTAGGTGAAGACAGACTCGCAAACTTCAACGCTTTGAAATCAATTATTACGGATAATGAGATAAGAATTAATGAAAAGAATCAACCCAGAAGAACAGCACAGAACGTTGCAAACTTCATTTTCGTAACTAACAACGTTTACCCTGTCAAAATTGAAGTTGGAGACAGAAGATACGTAGTTTTAAGAGTTAATGGTAAATTCAAGGGTCAATTTGATTACTTCAAGAATTTAATGGATTCATGCACAAAGGAATTTTATGATAATTTACTGACGTATTTTATGCAATATGACCTTTCATCATTTAATGTACGAATCATACCGATGACTGAAGCCAAACAAGATTTAATTGAATTATCATCAAATCCTTTAGATGTATGGATAAATACACATTATGATGAATTGTGTGCAGGTATGACGTGTGAAAATGCTCTATTCTGTAAACCTTCAGTCATGAAAGACAAAAACTTTCAAATGAGTATTAAGGATAAATGTGATAGGAAACATAGAAGAATAGACGGTAAACAAACATGGTATTATGTTTTGAAAGAAGAAATGAAAGGATTATATAAACAGGTTGAACCAAACGATAATGAGGAATCATTTACTGATGATGAAATACCTGTAAATGAGCCGCTAACGGACTCTTTGAGTCCTGAAGGTCTTTCAGACCGAAGCGGCGAGACCTGAAGGTCTAGCTTTATAAAGTATGATTTGAATTTATTTTTGCATTAATCCTTTCATGACTGTTGTCAAAATGTCGTGTTGTCACACTTTTTCAGAGAAGTTAAATTACCTGGTAGCACATGGTAGCATGGTAGCACCTTCGGTTATTCAAAAATAATTAATTATTGAATGACCCATGATGTTGTCAAAATGTCGTGTTGTCACACTTTTTCAGAGAAGTTAAATTACCTGGTAGCACATGGTAGCATGGTAGCACCTTCGGTTATTCAAAAATAATTAATAACTACCTTCCTCCTGTGTTGTTGACATAATGTCATGTTGTCAACATGGTAACATGGTAGCACCTTCGGTTATTCAATAATTAATTATTTTTGAATAACTGGGAAATAAATTTACGTCAAATATGCAATTTATAAAATCTTATGTCGACAGGCTACGTAGCACAGTGGTCTAAGGTGGTGTTATGGAGGGGTCAAGGTCTGTGGTTCGAACCGCGACAGCGCCGTATTTTCTTATTTTCTTTATTTGTCTTGTTTGTCGTGAATAAAAAGTATCATAAAAGTGCTCTATCTTCCACGGGAATAAATAAAAAATTTACTTTATTTCTTCTTTATTTCTTTGTTCCCGTGGAAGAAGGGTTTTGCTGTTTTTTCTCAGCCGAAATCAATGATTTTTTCATTTTTGGAATCCTTAGCGAATGAGGAATCTTTTCTCTCGTGGAAGCTTTGAACAAAAATAAATGGTTCATTTACTCACAATATTTTTGTACAAAACGACCCCAAACTTTTAACTTCTTTTCTGCAGCTTCAAATGCTATCTTAGCGAGTTCATATTCTCTAAATTCTCTCTTTAAATCTTCTTGTTCCCATTGGTCTAGTTCGTATGGAGAATCTCTATAACCATAATATATCTCACGTTCATGTTCTAATTGTTTTTCACACATTTTTCCAACTTCTTCTTCGAACAAAGGTTTAGCATTCTCCACTGTATCTTCGAGTTCTTCTTCATCTAACTTCTCATGAACTTTCTTGTCTATGGAGTCCATAATATCTTTGACATAAAATGCATACTTTACAGAGCACCATTCAGCAACAAAATGAACGAGGTCAGGATGTATGTAAATACCTTTGAATTCATTCATAACGCCCTTAGTAAGCTCATAAAATGCTTGTTTTGAGGTCGAGCCACTTTTGGCTCCACCGTATTCGTTCAACCAAAACTCAAGAATTTCCTGCATTTTAGTACTATTGAGAAATCTGTTTAAATGGTTTAACTTTCCTGCTTCTCTTGCCATCTTTGTTGCATTAATGTAACCATCCTTGTCTCTACGTAAGACTTCAATACCGTTATAAGTGCCTTTTGTGAATGTTTCACCATTAGATTTGTTCGTGAACGTCTGTGCTTCGACCGACATTACTGTTCTTACATACAAAATAAAAAAATAAATAAAAATAAAACTAACTTTATTTTTTCTATCTTAAGGAAATTCACGAAAATTCAAGAGGTGAGAAAAGAGGTGAGAAAACAGGTGATATCTCACCTCTTCACCTAAATTATATTTTTGCTGAATTCAGCAACAAAATTCTGAGTAAAATAATTTTTAGGGCTTGTGTCAAACCGTTGAGTTTTCACAAAATTTAAAAAAATAACGTTTACCATGTAAAACGTTTATAAAATAACTAGGGTGAGAAAACAGGTGAGAAAACAGGTGACATCTCACCTCTTCACCTAAACATTATTTTAGGTCAAAGCTTCCACGAGAGAAAAGATTCCTCATTCGCTAAGGATTCCAAAAATGAAAAAATCGTTGATTTCGGCTGAGAAAAAACGGCAAAAACCCTTCTTCCACGGGAACAAAGAAATAAAGAAGAAATAAAGTAAATTTTTTATTTATTCCCGTGGAAGATAGAGCACTTTTATGACACTTTTTATTCACGACAAACAAGACAAACAAAGAAAATAAGAAAATACGGCGCTGTCGCGGTTCGAACCACAGACTCTGACCCCTCCATAACACCACCTTAGACCACTGTGCTACGTAGCCTGTCGACATAAGATTTTATAAATTGCATATTTGACGTAAATTTATTTCCCAGTTATTCAAAAATAATTAATTATTGAATAACCGAAGGTGCTACCATGTTACCATGTTGACAACATGACATTATGTCAACAACACAGGAGGAAGGTAGTTATTAATTATTTTTGAATAACCGAAGGTGCTACCATGCTACCATGTGCTACCAGGTAATTTAACTTCTCTGAAAAAGTGTGACAACACGACATTTTGACAACATCATGGGTCATTCAATAATTAATTATTTTTGAATAACCGAAGGTGCTACCATGCTACCATGTGCTACCAGGTAATTTAACTTCTCTGAAAAAGTGTGACAACACGACATTTTGACAACAGTCATGAAAGGATTAATGCAAAAATAAATTCAAATCATACTTTATAAAGCTAGACCTTCAGGTCTCGCCGCTTCGGTCTGAAAGACCTTCAGGACTCAAAGAGTCCGTTAGCGGCTCATTTACAGGTATTTCATCATCAGTAAATGATTCCTCATTATCGTTTGGTTCAACCTGTTTATATAATCCTTTCATTTCTTCTTTCAAAACATAATACCATGTTTGTTTACCGTCTATTCTTCTATGTTTCCTATCACATTTATCCTTAATACTCATTTGAAAGTTTTTGTCTTTCATGACTGAAGGTTTACAGAATAGAGCATTTTCACACGTCATACCTGCACACAATTCATCATAATGTGTATTTATCCATACATCTAAAGGATTTGATGATAATTCAATTAAATCTTGTTTGGCTTCAGTCATCGGTATGATTCGTACATTAAATGATGAAAGGTCATATTGCATAAAATACGTCAGTAAATTATCATAAAATTCCTTTGTGCATGAATCCATTAAATTCTTGAAGTAATCAAATTGACCCTTGAATTTACCATTAACTCTTAAAACTACGTATCTTCTGTCTCCAACTTCAATTTTGACAGGGTAAACGTTGTTAGTTACGAAAATGAAGTTTGCAACGTTCTGTGCTGTTCTTCTGGGTTGATTCTTTTCATTAATTCTTATCTCATTATCCGTAATAATTGATTTCAAAGCGTTGAAGTTTGCGAGTCTGTCTTCACCTACATTCTTGAGTTCATTAAGTACAAGAAACATTTTATTTTCAACTACTGAGTTGAAATTACCCGTTAGCTCACTTATTTCAGTAATGTTTTTACATGAATAACCAGCGAGGAGTTCAGAAATAATGTCTGTAAATCTGTTTTTACCTGTTCCCTGAAGTCCTTTCAAAATAATTGCTGTTTCATTCTTGATTCCTGGATGTTGAATCATTGATGCAATCCAGCCGAGAAGGTATTTATACACTTCATCGTTATTATCACAAATGGCTTCTTTAATGAAATTCATAAACATCTCAATTTTTGAGTAATCAGGCTTTTCAAGAATGTTGTATTTATAACCATGAAACGTTGAGAAAACATCGGGGGAATCAGATTTAAAGCAAACACCCTTAACGGTTAATGAGGATAATTGATTTAGTAGTACATCCCATGCTGTTATGGTTTTACCTTCTTCTTTAAATAATTTAATCATTTTAAGTGACTCTTTCATGTTTGATTGAAGAACAAATGATATTTGATTCATTTTGTCGTGTATGTTGTAATCTTTCTGAATGAAATATTTATTTCCACAATCTACAAAACGGATTACACGTGATAAATCCTCAATTACTTCAGAACTGTTTTTATACTGATGATTTTCAGCCTTGCGTCTAATATCTGTTATCAAAAACGAGTCGTCAAGTTTGATATCAAATGTTATTTTTGGCTTACGTAATAAAGGTAAAACATATTCATCATAATATTCCTTTTGATATAGTTTTAGAATCTTCACCAAAACAAATGGAGAAGTCATTAAATGTGCATATCTATTACGTGCTTTTTCAAAATTACTTTTTGCATTTTCAGTTAAATTGCAGAAGTTATAAACGTTATCGTATGCTTCATTAATTAAATGATTAGGTAACGAATTAATAGCTTGAAACAGTGTGAATAATGTAACTTCTTTTTCTAAATTCATGTTTCCACCGTCATTATGTACTTCAAAATCACAGATGCCATCAACTATGCTTTGAGCTAGTTTATCATCAATGTTTACATCTTTGTTTTCATTCATTATACTCTTTATTTCTTCATTCTTCTGTTCAACTCTTACCTTAATATTCAAATCATTTAATATATCGTTTACTGTTCTAGTTAATGTTGAATCATAACTTCCACGAATGAATGAGTATGTTTTGATTGGTTCTGTTGCATTCTTGCGAACTCTTGAATCAGCCATAACCACTAATGAACGCTTTGAATCATCCATTGAAGTCATTATATCAATATCATAATCATTGCAGGAATAACATTTAATCATTCTGTTCGAGGTTGAATAGAAGAAATTAGTGTTGCAATAAATGTGAAGACCTCCTGAAGCGGTTTTAACGATAACATCTTTATCCGAAAGTTTTGATAAAATGTCTTTTCTAACTGTTTCTTTAAGTTCATCATTGTATGATTTATTGATATCAACATCTATAATCGTTAAATTTGAAATTTTATTTACTAATAAAGCCATACCAGTTTTCCTTCCTCTTCCTCCATCATGTTTGAGGTAGTTATGTAAATCAATCTTGTTTTCACCAATTCTTTCGTTGAGGGTTTTAGTTTCTGCCACAACTAATTCCTCAGCTAATGAATCAATGATATTTTCATCAGAAACGATATAGTTGCTGTTGTTGTTTGTTGCTGTCATTTATATAGGAATAAAAAAATAAAAACAATTAATAACTACCTTCCTGCTGTGTTGTTGTCAAAATGTCAGTTGTCACCATTTTTAAAAGAAGTTAAATGACCTGGTAGCACATGGTAGCATGGTAGCAGTGAAAACATTAACGTAAACATAAACGTAAACATTAACGTAAACATAAACGTAAACATTAACGTAAACATTAACGTAAACATTAACGTAAACATAAACGTAAACATTAACGTAAACATTAACGTAAACATTAACGTAAACATAAACGTAAACATTAACGTAAACATAAACGTAAACATAAACGTAAACATTAACGTAAACATAAACGTAAACATTAACGATAAAATTTATTTCCTGGACTGTTGTCAAAATGTCAGTTGTCACCATTTTTAAAAGAAGTTAAATGACCTGGTAGCACATGGTAGCATGGTAGCACCTCCAGTTCTTCAAAAAATAATTCATAACTACCTTCCTCCTGTGTTGTTGTCAAAATGTCAGTTGTCACCATTTTTAAAAGAAGTTAAATGACCTGGTAGCACATGGTAGCATGGTAGCACCTCCAGTTCTTCAAAAAATAATTCATAACTACCTTCCTCCTGAACTGTTGTCAAAATGTCAGTTGTCACCATTTTTAAAAGAAGTTAAATGACCTGGTAGCACATGGTAGCATGGTAGCACCTCCAGTTCTTCAAAAAATAATTCATAACTACCTTCCTCCTGAACTGTTGTCAAAATGTCAGTTGTCACCATTTTTAAAAGAAGTTAAATGACCTGGTAGCACATGGTAGCATGGTAGCACCTCCAGTTCTTCAAAAAATAATTCATAACTACCTTCCTCCTGAACTGTTGTCAAAATGTCAGTTGTCATCATTTTTCAGAGAAGTTAAATGACCTGGTAGCACATGGTAGCATGGTAGCAGTGAAAACATTAACGTTTAAGTTCGACAAAGCATGTACGATGAAATCATGACAAAACATGTACGCTCATTACGATGAAGAAATCATGACAAAACATGTACGATGAAGAAGTTTCGACACATTCATTTACGCTCATGTTTGACAAAGTCATTTACGATGAAGAAGTCATTTACGATGAGGTCATAACAAAACATTTATGTTATACAGTAATGTTAGTCATGAATGTTTGTCCTACGTGTTGGCGTTAGTGTTGAAAAATAATGTTTGTCCTACATGAAGCCGTACAAGCGTTTGAATTTGTTTATGCATAAGATTACTCTCTTGTTTTCTGTATCTATCATACAAACATAAGCAGCACCTGTTTTTGTAAAGTTTATATGAAGTTTTCGATAGTTAAGACCTGTATAATAATAGAATGCGTCCTCATTCTCAACATAGTAGTAGAACTCAAACGAATGCTTACCATAATCTGTTATTTCAACAGCTTCGTCAGATATTTCATCAACGAACTCATAAACTATATCGCCATACTTGCTTTTATTTCTATTGTTTTCAGATTTAGAACACCAACGAAGGTTTGAGATTCTGTTGTCGTCTCTTTGATGGTTTATATGGTCCACACACGGTAAATTGTTCGGATTGGAAATAAAATGAGTAGCTATGAGAACATGTTTTTGGTACTTTTTGAGGTTTAATGTTACACAAATATAACCTGTTCCTCTGTTATATTCATGTATAATTCTCTTGGTTTCTTTCTTCCTTATTTCAAAAGGCTCAGAACAGTGAATTTCATACTCTTCATCTTGTAAACATTCTTTCCATACATCTTGACCAACAAGTTCAGCGTACATCTGTCTTTACATACAAAATAAAAAATAAATAAAAATAAAACTAACGTTATTTTTAAATTTTGTGAAAACTCAACGGTTTGACACCTGCCATACGTCATTTTACTCAGTAATGAGGATGAAGAGCTTTATTCGTAAGTTGAAGTTCTGAGGTCATGGGCTTCGCCCTTGCCGCTAGCGGCTTATTTTTGTCAGCAATGAGGTCATTCGTGATAAAAATAAAGCTAGCGTAGATTTTACAATACTGCGATGGTAGAGTTTAAGAGTTGTGCTTCAATGTAGAGACAGTCCTTATGGTCTGGAGGCAAGAACACCGGACATTTATGGTCATGAGTGGAGAACATGTCTATCCAAAACTCACGATTGAAGCCAGTTAATTTATAGTATTTAGGGTTAGGAAGTGGTGAAGTTCTTGTATGACCAATGAACTCATTTTCAACTCCTTTACTTAAGTTTGGATATAATATAGCTTGCTTTCTATCCCAAATGCCAGGTGTTACAATCTTTGAAAATTCATTTTTCCTCGGAAGCATTGCATCATAATTGAAAACATTCTTAAAATCATCACTTGGTTCGGAGATTTGAAACCTTATACGTAATGGATTTTTTTTCTCTTTAGCGACTTCATTGAATGGTGAGAATACAATGAATTGACAGTCATGAGTTCCATCTTCATTTTCATTAAATTCATAATGAAAGTCTATAAGTTGTGGCTGACTACCTTCTTCTTTCAGTTGTGCAAGAAACTCACGTAAAGGCTGTAAAGTTTGTACTTCAATGTTGAACTTTTTCTCGAACATCTCATTAAATGAAATCATACATTGTTGCAATGTTGTATCGTCTTTAAAGTATTTGTATATGTGAATGTTTTGGGCGCTTAAAGACTGTTCGTCATTTTCTATCTCGACTTGAAGTATAAAGTCAATCTTTCTGAAAGCACGTGTTATATACATAGATGTTATGCCAATGTACTTCTCTTCATTTATGTTCACAATCCAGTCTGTTGGAAACTTAAACGTTACTCTGTTCCCCTTTATTTTGACGTCAGGGTTTTCACTACTGAACGCAACAGATAAAGGTATTTGTCTATACATTTAATTCGGATAAAAATAAACCATTTACTCTTTCTTTGCTTCAGCTTCTTTAGCTTTTTGTTCTTCCTTTGCTTTTGCTTCTTCTCTAGCTTTTTTCGCCAGCAAACGTGGGTTCTTTTGTCTTCCAGCAGCTAATGCAGCAAGTTGTTTTTCACTAAGTTTTCTCTTTGGTCTCTCTGGCTTTTGTTCTTGTTTTTGTTCCTTCAGTTCGGATAAAATTTGCTCGCGAATTTCTTTCTTCAATGCTTCAACATCTATGACACCTTGGGTCTTGTCCGTAGGGCTTGTCTGAGTCATTTGACTGTAGATAAAAAACTAAATTAAAACTTTAACCGATGTAAAATGAGCTTGTCAAAATCAGAACGAGAGTCTATTATATTAAATGACGCCAGAGGAATACAACATCCTTTCTATTACGTAAGTCAGAGTAAAGATGGTAAAATATATGTAAGAAAAAGAAAGGTTCCATTAGCGAATGCAGAGAGCGACAACATTAAGGTGCATGGCAAGGGTGAAGTCCACGAAGCCCATATAAAACCTTCTGTTCAAACTGAAAAGTCAATAGAACAAGAAGAAAAGAAGCCAGATGTTCTTTCAATAACGAACCAAGAGCTTATTGCAAAGTTCGTGAATTTCATTGAAAAGCAAACCGAGTCAAAGAACCCTGACCCGCCAGTGAAAGAAGTTGAGACAAAAGAGAATGTACAGTTCATTGAAAATGTCAAGAAACAACTTCCACCACGAATGCCAAGAAGAAGAGTGAGAATAATGAGTAAATAGATATTTTTATCTGAAGTAAATACATGCAGAACGAACAGCTAAACGAATTTACTCCAGCAGAGCATATTCATCAGATTCGCTCATATTTCGATATCATAGACAATGCAGTTCAAATTGGTGACACTAATAGAAAATATTCTGACGCAAAGATTCCATCACAACCTGGAACTGCTAAAGATAACACATGGGTAACATTCAATCTCTCACCTCCTGGTGAAATATGTTGGACCTTTACAATACATTCATTACGTATAAAATGGAAGGTCAATTTATTGCAGATAAAGAAATTGGTTCAGGTTCCAATAAAACAAACCCACCAGGATTTTGGATTGGTTTCGATGACGCTTTCTATGCAGTTGCTGGATATCAAATCCTTGCAAATGGTCGTATCGTATATTCTCAAGACAACGCAAGAGAAGAAGCATATATAACTTCAAACTCACAAACTACCGAACAAATAAAGAAAGTAGATGTTTTCTCAAAGACTCGACATGAAGATGTATGGAGTCATTCGGGAACATGCAGAACAGGACAAATTGTTAGTGGTCCAATTACAGCAGGAAAATCATTTGATTTTAAGCTTCGTTTAAGAATTCCTGTTAGAAGATTCCTTCCATTAGAAGCTATAAGATTTATTCCTGCATTTGCTGGTAACATTCAGCTTAAAGTAAAGTTCAGTAGCGACGCCTTACAATGCACATCTATATCTGTAAATGATATCATTGCTTTCAATCCAACTCTTAAAGTTGCATTTGCTTCAGATTCAAATCCACCGACAAATAAATTTGTTCCATGGAATGAACCATTCACTATGATAACGAAGGCAATAGAAGCTAGTGGAACAGTTACTATTACAACTGTAACCCAGCAACTATTTCGAACAAAGATGGATTTTAATGAATGTTTCATTCATCCAAAGTCATTCTCTTTAGACCCTAACATTTATACAGAACTTGTAGAACATTATACAAACGAGGCTTTATGTTTTCCTGTTAAAGTTATGGATTGGATTCCTATGGACGGTTCATTCTCAAAGAATACAGATAGTTCAAGTGCAACATTTACAGCAGCTTATACGCCTATTAATGTTAAAAGTATTTGGGCACTATTTAGAAAGAAAGACAACTATTATGTTAATTTTGAGAACCCTAAGTTTAAATATCTTCAGCTTTCCATGGGAGCTTATGGAAATATGCCTGCAGAACCTGAAAAATCATATGGACCTGTATTTTATGAAATGGTTGCGAACGCCTGCAATACAAACAATGATATGATTGGATTTAATGAAGATGTTATGAGGTCATTGGTGGATGATGGTAGTGTGGAACATAAATGGGATAGCTATGACAACACACATTTCTTATGTGGTTTTCCAACAGAAGTGGACTTTTGCTTCCAGCAAGGTCAAACATCTACTGCTCCAATAACATACAAATTGTCTGTTAAAGGACCTATTGAACTAGCAACTGAAAATGTACCAAAGCCACTTATTGGATTTATGAGGGATTGTTGCTTTGCCATTCAGGTGCGTGCTAATGGAATCCCAATAATAAGATTAGATGACTATAACTTAGCTACGGACGACGGTGAGGAATAAAGGATGAACGTTTATTTTTAAAGCTTATAAATGAGTTCTTCATCAAGCTCTCGTGAACCTTCACCATCTATGAAACAAACTTTACCAAACGATTATGGAGCACCTATTGAATATTTCTTACGAGCTGCACAATGGCAAAGAGCAGTCTCACCAAGGTTAGGTGTTCCACCAGCTCCTGTCAAAATAGCATTTGGTCAAGTCCTTATATAAAATATGGTCTCCCACTAGGTTTGCTAGCTACAGCAGTAGCAGTTATGATGTTGAAAAGAAATAAAGCAAATGTTGTAAATAATACTGAAGTAGCTGAAGTTAAACAAACTCCAACGCCTTCACAAGCAAAACCTTCAATGACTCCTGAACCTATGGAAGTACAAACTCCTGTTCAAAAGTCAACTCCTAAACCGACTCCAACATTTAAACCAGAACCTACTCCTCAAATAAATCGTAAAACTCCTGCGTTTCCTTACTGAAAAAATAATGTTAGTTTTATTTTATTTGAACATTTTATTTAGAGTAAAATGACGACTAAAGTCACTGAAGCAATGAAACAAAAATTTTTGGTAGAATACATTAAATCAGGAGCGGTTCCAGAAGGTTTTTACGTTCATACTATGAAGGATGGTAGAGTTCAGTTTAGAAAGATAAAGCAACCATTAGATAGAGAAGGTATATTAAGGAAGATTAAACTTCATGAGGACAACATTGCTGAACTTAGGAAGAAGTTAGAAGAGTTGGAGAAAGGAAGAGAGTTATAAAGCAATGAATTCATGAGGTGAAAAAAGAGGTGAAAAAAGAGGTGAGATTTCACCACTTCACCTAAATTTATTTTTGCGCTATGTTTTCATACGTGTGAGGGTGGTGATATCATTAATTTTAAGTTTATTTTTATTTTATTTTTATATAAATGACGAAAACTATTGAGATAACAAACTACAACGGTCATGAGTTCAAGAACTTGTTCTTCGTTCCTCGTGAAAATACATTCTATCAGATACGAGGGAGAAAGGGTAAAGTTAGTTTGAGCGTTTATGAAGGAATGAAGAATGGAAAGTTTATACAAGCATATGATACAAACGGTAAGCGTGTTTCATTAGCTTTGTCAAAACTTACTAACATTTATTTTGACAGTGATTTTGACCTATATGAAGAAGAAAGTGAGTCAGAAGATTATGAGCTGTTATGTGAAGCACAGCAATGGGAGGAGTTGCAATATTTTTGTAAGTGAGAACGTTTATTTTTTACATTAGTGAAGTCGTTTGTGAAAACGTTAGTGAAGTGAAGTGGTTGGCGGCTTTGTAAATATTTAATGTTAAGTTAGTGTTGTCGTTTGTGTTGTAAAAATATATGTTACTGGTTTTGTAAAGTGTCAAATTCACATATAATGGGTAAGGAGGCGCGCAGTGCCACAGTACACGACTTAACCATACTAACTGTATAAAACTCTTTCCATCTCATATTTGCATACCATGGTGGCAAACCTAACGCAGCGTCATTTGACATGGCAGTTTGCATTTGTACATCTGTTGGCACTTGACCATAGTTTGCCATTGCAGTTTGTATTCTAACTTCATTTGGAATACTCTCTGGGTTTGGTTGTCCAGGTTGCTGTGCATTCGCTAAGTTCTGTGCGTCCATTTAATATTAGATAAAAATATCTCTTACGAGTACATATACTGGACATTTGCAGGCATTGGTTCATCTTCATATTCTCTATATCTTTCTGCCACGTCAAATAAGTAAATGACACAATGGAAAAAACCTAAAACAAGTAGTCCTATTTCAAACCACATTTACTTACTAATAAAATTTCTTTGTTATGACACTTTCTCCAGTTTATAGGACCTCTCTCATATTCTATCTTGTCATATATAAACTCATAGTCATGTATGTCCTCTAACCATCTCATAACGGTTTCCAAACCACTTTTATCGGATGTAAAGTAAAAGCATGGACAGTTATGTAAAACGTCTAAAGTTTCTAAAGAGTCTCTCAAAGTCCAGTCTACTTGGTATTGAAAATCCCATGTGTTATAGAACGGCGGGTCCACTATAAAGAAAACATTTTCCTTGTCTTTATATTTTTCATACAACTCTGTCCAATGACATCTCACAAACTCTATACCCTCAATATATTTTTCTATGTCCTCTTTGAAAACATTTGTATAGTTAAGATATAAAACTTTTGACATAAGTGTTTCAATGTCATGAACTCTTATAGCACCACTATATAATAGTCTAGAAGATATACTATCCCAGTCAATATACTCTGCTTTTTTCAAAACCTCTCTCACAATATTTTTCTTATCTAATGGTATACGTTCCATCTTACCTATAGGTATCTTTTCTTTTAACTCTTTCAATATATTGTTTGTGTCTGGAATATGTTTGAGACGGTTCATATAGTTGTCGAAGTCATTGCATATAATCTTTGAGTCAGGAAATACAGTATGGCACAAATGAGATATATAGAAACTTCCACCGAACAAATCTACAAATGTTAGACCATTCGGTAGTTTCTTAAGTTCTCTCAATAGAATATCTTTACATCTACTCTTATTTCCAAAGAAGGGTAACGGTGGTTTTGTAAAATTCATTTTATATATATATAATAAAAATGTTTTTACCTGAAAAGTGACAGAAAAGTGACAAAACATGAAAACATATATATTTTGTGAAAAGCTCCTGGAAGACCCGTATATAAGAACTTCATTTATACTAAACATCTTCAGGGGCTAGAGGGGCGCAGCCCTGGAAGCCCCACTACCTTTTTTTTTTTTTTTTTTTTTTTGATAGGTAAAGAAATTGTTTTTTATTTAAAATTGTTACTACCATGTTAAGTAAAAATTGAGAAGAAAATGATTTATATTATTAATACAAAAAAAGGAGCATGACTTCGAGAAATATTTTCGGTTTATCGGTGTGGTGCGCCGATATGTGTAATTTAAAATTTTGCTTCCTGATATCGAATTTTTCAAAAGAATTGAAATTGATCGCATGCATATTTATAGTATAATGAACTAAAAATTAGCGCAAAATTTTTGGATATTTTCAAATTGAATGTCCATCAACATTTTTTTCTTTGAATACTGATAAAAATTTTTCCACGAAAATTTTTCAGATTTTCATAGGCAACTAAGAATGATGTGCTTCTCCAATATCCACAACGAAGCTACAGAAACAAAGCAGCCACAAGGTAGCGTCCACATCTCACAAGAAAATCTCAAAGTTGAGCTGAAGAGATATTCTTCTTACTTAAGACGCGATTTCCTTGCGGTTATAGTCAAACTTTCTCGCAAAATGTTCGGACTTCACTTAAGAAGAGAAGACTGGCGTACAAGAACAGGAATGCTCGATTTCATCTCTAAAAATTGGGAATTTCTCTCTGGGGTTATCAGCAGCCCAACAAACACAATGGGCTGGTATGCTGCCAACTTCGAATTTATTGAGAAAATTCTCAGCTGCAGAAAGTTTGCAATTTTTCTCAACTCTGTTTGGGGCGAATACAACGAATTCCTTTGCAATCACGACACAATTCGTTTCATGCACTCAAATATGCAAGAAATCACTTCAAAGCTTACAAGCAAAGCAGAAAACGACAATTTCACATTTAATAACTGTGAAGTTGGTCGAAAGATTGCTGAATTGATCAACAAGTACAAGGCAAGTCTTGCGTGCAAGCGCCCTGATACTCCCATTGATTATTCACCAATAATTCCTCAATCTCAACAGCAAATCCTTCTTCCTCCTCCTTTGGAAGAAAGTCATCCAATTGATCAGGAAGCTACTGTTGTTGACAGTACAAATTCTGCCAATTTTACGACGTCCGTTAACAGTTTTGAAGAATTTGAAGACTGTTCATTCGAGACGTTCGAATACTGCGAAGAATTGATCTTCTAGAGTCATAGAAGAGAAATGTTGGATTAAACAACCCTGAATTATTGTAATTAACTTACAATAATTCGGGGTCTGTCGATTTCGTCATAATCGGCAACGATTTGTTCTCCAATTATAAGAAGATCATCCAAGATCTTCCTGCTGCAAGACAAAACTAAGATTTTTTGATAATTCTCAACCCAAAAAAAAAATCTTAGGAAAAAAAAATTAATTTTGAATGCAATGCAGTAATATTAAGTAATTACTTGGGAAAAAAATAAGAAATTATTTGTAGCAGCTTTAATTTAATTAATTAGGTAGCCATTAGTTGTTTTCTTCAAAGAACAACTGCGCTATTTGTACCTATCTGGGTGGCTCTAGATAGAACAAATAGAGTGCTCCTTTAATCCACACTTTTTAGTGCGGATTTATTGAGAACACAAAAAAAGGTGCATGGATTAGTTCCTGCATACTTTTCTTAACCTTGTGCTTAAGGAAATTGACGGAAAAGATTGGCCCTGGATTATTACCTTTTTTTTACATTTTTTTTATATGATTTTTTTTATAAGATTATGAATCATTATTATTAGGGTCGTCTTTTGGATCATATCTTATAACTCTGTTTTTTAATATTTTTGTGTTTGAGGAAAAATTCAATTCTTTTTTTAAGGATACCCTTACATTGCGTAGTTAGAAAGAGAATATGATATTGTCATGATTGCTAAAGTTTTAGGCTCCAGAAATGAATATACATCAAACTGAAACAATTGATAAATTGAATGAACTTTTGAGAGGTTCTCAAATAAAAAAAATTATCTAATTTTTTACAATATTACTATTATTTTATCCACATATGTATATATAGTAATTTGAGAAAACTTTTAGGAAAAAATAAGTTTAATAAAAATCTGAATTTTACTTGTTGTGGGATTGTTATTAATTGACACTCCAGACATATTACTAATAGTTATGCGTATGCAATTAAAGTATTTCTGATGGACAAAATGTGAGATTTATATCAGATAATTCATTTCTACTATTATAAATTGTTTTAATTAATTGACACCATATAATAGAGTGAATTTTGTTTGATATAAAATACATTTATTAAATATCCATCAAACAACAATAGATGATAGATATAAAGCCAAGAAACTTGCTATTAATATGCTCTACTTGCTATTTCAATGTAAGTATGATATTTTCTAAATGTTTCGTTCAGATAACTTAGATATATTAGTCAAAATTTGAAATTTTAATAGCACATATATTAAAAATAATTATTATTCATAAAAGATTAATGAAATAGTAAAAAAAAAAATCAATCAAATTATAAAAATACAACATATGGTTTTTTATGGTTGTCTCATAATAGCATTTCATGAGAAAAAATATAATACTATTTATTTTTGCATAGTTCAATTTTTTTAAATAATGCAAGATATCCCGCCATTAGTTTTCATGAAATAATCCAAAAATCAGCATACACTTGAGAACATAGCAGCTCTACATGTTTTCGCTATTTATTTTCCAATAATATGAGGGGTTCACGGGATAAAGCTTCATTAAGCATAATTGATTACAATATCAAAAAAAAAAAAAAAAAAAAAAGGCATTGGGGCTTCCAGGCACTTCGTGCCCTCTAGCCCCGAAGATGTTTTGTCACTTTTCTGTCACTTTTCAGGGGAAAAACATTTTTATTAAATATAAAATGAATTTTACAAAACCACCGTTACCCTTCTTTGGAAATAAGAGTAGATGTAAAGATATTCTATTGAGAGAACTTAAGAAACTACCGAATGGTCTAACATTTGTAGATTTGTTCGGTGGAAGTTTCTATATATCTCATTTGTGCCATACTGTATTTCCTGACTCAAAGATTATATGCAATGACTTCGACAACTATATGAACCGTCTCAAACATATACCAGACACAAACAAAATATTGAGTGAGTTGAAAGAAAAGATACCTATAGGTAAGATGGAACGTATACCATTAGATAAGAAAAATACTGTCAGAGAGGTTTTGAAAAAAGCAGAGTATATTGACTGGGATAGTATATCTTCTAGACTATTGTATAGTGGTTCTATAAGAGTTCATGACATTGAAACACTTATGTCAAACGTTTTATATCTTAACTATACAAAGGTTTTCAAAGAGAACATAGAAAAATATACTGAGGGTATAGAGTTTGTGAGATGTCGTTGGACAGAGTTGTATGAAAAATATAAAAACAAGGAAAATGTTTTCTTTATAGTAGACCCGCCGTTCTTTAACACATACGATTTTCAATACCAAGTAGACTGGACTTTGAGAGACTCTTTAGAAACTTTAGACGTTTTACATAACCATCCATGCTTTTACTTTACATCCGATAAAAGTGGTTTGGAAAGTGTCATGAGATGGTTAGAGGACATACATGACTATGAGTTTAGATACGATAAGATAGAATATGAGAGGTCCTATAAACCGGAAAAAGTGTCACAACAAAGAAATTTTATTGGTAAGTAAATGTGGTTTGAAATAGGACTACTTGTTTTAGGTTTTTTCCATTGTGTCATTTACTTATTTGACGTGGCAGAAAGATATAGAGAATATGAAGATGAACCAATACCAGCAAATGTTCAGCATATGTACTCGTAAGAGATATTTTTATCTAATATTAAATGGACGCACAGAACTTAGCGAATGCACAGCAACCTGGACAACCAAACCCAGAGAATATTCCAAATGAAGTTAGAATACAAACTGCAATGGCAAACTATGGTCAAGTGCCAACAGATGTACAAATGCAAACTGCCATGTCAAATGACGCTGCGTTAGGCTTACCACCATGGTATGCAAATATGAGATGGAAAGAGTTTTATACAAACCCTGAAGTGGGATATAAACAACTCTATGCAGATGACGCGAACACAGGAGTTGACCCAGAGTATGTTTTCTACCAGAGGAGAAATAGAATGTATGAGCTCCAGTTAAAGAATGCAATGGAACTCAACAGGAAACGTAAGAGACTAGGCGGACATTAGATTTTTACATATAGTAAAATGGGTTTTTTGGAAGAATAGGAAACTTCTTTCGAAATGTTGGAAGAGGTATATGGAATGGAATAAAAACCGTAGGAAGAGGAATTTGGAACGGAGTCAAAAATATTGGTAAAGAGTAGGTCAGTTTGTTGGTATTATACCTAAAGACCCTGAACCAGAAGAACAAGCTCCTGTTATACAACAACCTGAACCTGCACCACAGTCTAGTTGGCAACCAAATCCAACACCTCAACCGTATTAAAATTATATTTTTACCGTTCGATAGTAGTTGTATATGAAACTAAGTTCTAAGTAAAACGCATGGAATGGAACTATTCTCTTTCTTCCATCTGTTGTAAACCATACTTGAAAGTCTGAAATACTTCCACTCGGTGGTTCATATAGCTTTGTAGGTTTTTCGTAAAAGTCATTTGCCAAGCATAAAAAAGAGTTTTGTGCACCAGAAAATGAAGCATGAACTATAATAGCATCTGAGTCGAAAACATTTTCATATGTTCCATTAGGGTTTTCGACTTCATAAAAGTTCGGGTGTACTGGATATTCTGCAGGCTGATTTAACATCCTCAAAATCTATACCATGCCAAGTTGTTATATTTTGTAGAAATATAAACGTTGTCTCCAAGGTCTTCTATTCTATTGAATTTAACAGTTGCATTTTTCCTGTCATATAAAATATCGAGATGGTACTCTCCTTCGTCAATGTTAAACTGGTTTGCATATTCGAGATAGATATCGTTTATTTTTTCTTGAAAAGCTTGAAGAGTTGTTTCTAAGTTTACAAGCAAACTAACTTGTAAAAGTTTTCCCTGTACAAATTTCTCATACGCACGTTTTTCTTTGTTATAGTATCGAATTTCAAAAGCGACCGTAAATGGGAAACCATGTATGGCTTCTGAAATGAACTTCATTCTACGAAAGCCAATAGCTTTTGTGACGGATGGGTCTCTTAACCATCTTAGTGGGTAGTCAAAACGATAGCCTTCATGCTTTACGGTCTCTGTCTCAAACTTTTGACCGACATTCGTAAAAAGTTCATCTAATGGTTTAGTTGTAGCAACTCTTGAATTTTCTTTTTCTATTGAAAGCATATTTTATCTAGAATAAAAATGTCGAAAGAAACAGCGTCTATGAGAGAAATACAACACAACCGAAACTCATTGTACAAGCTCTAAATAAGAACACAACAAACTTTTCAAACTATTCTAAGATATCTGAGTCATTGAAAGAAGGAAACTTAAAACTGACGATAAACCCAATGACAGACGAGTTTCTGTTTCAAGACAGTAAGAACCATACTGTTTGTATAAATCCAACAAAAAGAACTTTAAACGAGAAACCTATAGATGAACTTCTTTTGAAAGCAGATATTGACAACAAAGCTGACAAAGAGTATGTAGATGCAACAAGAGACTATATTCTCGCATGGACAGATAGAACATACCCACAAAAACATCATACACATAACATCTATGACGTAGATGAACTACCAGCAATATTAGATGACAAAGCGGATAAAACATATGTTGACAATAAAATGTCAAGTGAAGTGACAAGAGCTGACAAAGAATATTCTAAAAAGACTCATACACATACCATATCTGATATTACAAACTTACAAGAAACCTTAAACAAGAAAAGTGACGTTGGACATACACACGATTTCTTCGCAACTGTTGGTATAGAAAATATTGCAGGAACGGTTGAAGAACCTGATGGAACTGGTGGGGATGTATTAAATTGGAAACCTCCTAACTTTCCACAAGGTTTAACATCGGAGGATGACATAACGACGATGAAATACATTAGATGTAGAAATGTCTATGTCATGGAGGATGAAAACAATGTTAAATTCACTGCTCAAGATTTATATGATAAGAAAGCTGACAAAACATATGTTAACGATGAGTTAGATAAAAAAGCTGACAAAACAGAGCTTCAAACATTAAAGACAGAAATACTTCAAACCATATACCCGGTTGGTTCTATTTACACGTCAATGAACTCTACCAAACCAGAAGTAGTACTTGGTTTTGGAACTTGGACTCAAATAGTCGACAGGTTTTTGTATTGTGCAAACTCTTCAAAGGAAACAGGTGGAAGTAAAACGATTTCAGGTGAAAATTTACCTGCGCACAGTCACTACATAAATTTAAGTACATCTGAAGCAGGTTGGCATAAGCATAGATTTTGGGATTGGTCAGCAATGAAAAAAGGTAAAGGATATGATGTTAAAGACGACATTCAGTTTGCTATAAATTGTTTCTGGGGTAGCACACAGGGAGATGGAAACCATACACATCGCGTTTCAGGGTATACGCAAACAACGGGACAAAGTAAAGACTACATGCCACCATACATGACAGTTTACGCATGGTATAGAAATGCTTAGTCGTCATTTTCAACTTCTTTAGCATATTCGTCAGGAGTTGTCTTATATTTGTTAGGAACTGTGTTTGAAATATACCACCTTGAACCTTAACAGTTTGAAACGAGGTCTGACAATAGTCGTTTTATCTTCTGCTTGCAGTCTGTACATTTTGCCATGTTTGCCTAAAACTTCATAATATTCTCTTGTATACTTTCTTCTATTTTTACGAACACGAATGTGAGTACCTGTCGAGTTCCCATTGTTGTCATAGTCAATAGTATTTTCATATGGGTCGCGTTTAGGTATTTCTATTTTTACTTTGTCACCTTTCTTAAGTTTGAAGCCTGGCATTCTTTCTTGTTTGTCTCTTTTGACTAAACTATTAAATATATAGTCTTTCTCTAAGTCGGGGTTGTTTTTCATTTCTTCAGGGGAGTGGTTTCCCAAACCTTTTTGTTTACGGTTATTGTAAATATTTAAAACTTGTCTCATCTTTGCCATGGAGAAGTGTCTGTACTTGTCGTCATATGACATTTCATCTACCTCACCACCTTGTGGTTGGTTTAAGTCTCTTAAGATTTTTATACAACTGTCAATGACACCAAGAGCAGAATGGTTTTGGTCGACAATGAAATATTGGTTTACATTTTTTGAACGCAGATAGTTTTTAATATCGTCTGATTTGAAAGAACTTTCACAGTCAGATGTCAGTTTTGTTGGATGGTATTTGTCAACGAATATTGTCAAAGCAGTTTTCACATCTAAAATATTTTTGGACCATAATGGTATGGCTTCACAGTATCTTGTGTTTTGACCAACAAATATTAACCAGTATGGTGGTCCATCTTCTCTATACCTCGGAATGTTTTCAAAGATATCCATAAACCAAGCATTTGGTGTTGAACTAAAGATTTTTACCATGAGTGCTTTCTTTGTCGCCTTAGAAACATACGGGTCCTTGTTTGAATTCGTCATTTTTAACCCATAAGAAATGGGTTTATTTGGCGCAATAGCAGGAGTCGCATCTAGATTTTTGCCAGCAGTGGGAACACTAGCCAGAGGTGCATTTGGAATTGGAAGGAAGATTTTGAGTACTTTAGGTATACTGAAAGAGAAAGCACAACCTATTATACAAACCGTACAGAAAGGTTGGGATGTAGCACGAGATGCAGCAAATCTTATTCCAAATCCTGAAACAAAGAGGAAAAGTTCAAGGATGGATGGACAATGTAGGAAGACAAGCAGGAAACTACTATAAAAAGCAAATGACTACTATAACCAAGCAGGACACTACATGGACCAAGGTGAAAGATTCTTTAACAGAGGATATAACCATGCACAACAGTGGGTAAACAACAACCAACCTCAACCGCCTCAAACGTGGGGAATGTAAAATTTTTTACTGAGATGAAATGAACAATACAGCATTGAGACAAATGGGCTCAAGATGGATTTGTCGGCTTCCAGCAGTTACACAACCACGTGTTTGTCAAGTCCTCCCTATACCTCAGGAAGTTTTAGACCGACTTAAAAAACCTAAACAACCAGTTGAAAACAAACCAAACTAAAATTTTTTACTGAGATGAAATGACCGAAGAAGTTGAAACGGTAGATTTGACACCACAAACAAAAAGTTCAGAACCATTGTCAAAACCTGTCAAAGAACTTACAGATGAAGAGAAAAATTCAATAATAGAAAGTGTGAGGTCTGGAAATACAAACCCTAACTACAAAGTCACTTTTCATAAAAATGGAACGGCAAGTATCTCAAAAAAGAAACAGACTCTCACAAATAAAATATTGAAGTCTGAAGGAGCTTTCAAGACAACAGATGGAAAAGTTTACTTCACTGACCAACAGTTCATTATAGAACATCTCATTGACTTAGAGTCGAAATATTCTAAACTTTACAACAAACACAAAAAGTTGAAAGGAAAACAAAAACAAATGGCATATGATATTTATGAAGATACTAACGACACAACTATTCCAGCAAGTGAGGTAAAGTCAGATGAACCGAAAAGTGACGAAAAACAGATAGAAGAAGGGAAGCCAAAAACTGAAGAAAAACCAAAACCAAAGGTTAGTCTGGAGACTAAACCAAGCCAACCTTCATTAGCTGGTATGGGTTGGCGTCAAAGGCTTATGGTAGCAGGTGGTTACGTTAAGTAAAGGAAAAACAGTATATTTTTTTATTTTATTTGAACTGTACGCTGAGTCTGTCGCAAAAGACCGTTGGGAAGACATAGATGAAGAAAGTTCATGAGAAATTAGATGAAGAAAGTTCATGAGAAATTAGATGAAGAAAGTTCATGAGAAATTAGATGAAGAAAGTTCATGAGAAATTAGATGAAGAAAGTTCATGAGAAATTAGATGAAGAAAGTTCATGAGAAATTAGATGAAGAAAGTTCATGAGAAATTAGATGAAGAAAGTTCATGAGAAATTAGATGAAGAAGTTCATGAGAAATTAGATGAGAAATATGAAATGGCATACCATTTTAAAACAGTATTTTTTTATTTTTATAAAAATGCCCCCATATAGAATGGACAGAAGGTCTGCTAGAATAAAAGCAGAGTTAGAAAGATATGGTTGGAGAGTTTCAAAGAAGTTTAAATATAGGAAGGGAAGACCCATAAAAGTCTATGACAAATTGTCTGGTCTTCGCTACGAAATGGACCTGGAAACAGCGCGCACAAACTATCCAAACAGACTGGAGAGGTTAGAAGAAGAGCGTCTTATGGACATGCCTTTCAATGTTACTGAGCCTCAGGTTGAAGGACACGACGGCTTTGCCAGATTTTACTGGAAACATAACGAACAATTGTATCCCTTGAGAAGGAAAAAAGGGAAGGGTGAAGATGCACATGCCCCCATGGAAAGAACAAGATATGCATATGAGAAGTATCGTGAGGTTAGAAGTAAAATTACATCTGGTCGAACCTTTACAGTTAACTTTGACGAAGGAAAGAACAAAGAAGGCTTCATGGGTGTACTTGCTGCCATACAAGACGGAAATAAGAAAGGATACAATCTCAGACTAACCGTAACAGATTTAGATGGTCATATATACTACTCACATGGCAATGTCGCAACAGCTGCAATGCTTCTTGACGCTTTCAAGACTACAAAGAGAGAACAAATGGTTGACTCCGACTCAGACATCTTAAATGCGATTGAAGGAATTGCAAGCGTGAAGTTCGAATGGTTACAACCCAACCCTCAAGCAGTCAGACAACATGCTGGGTATTTCCCGTTCAGAAATAAGTCTGACATTAACCTGACAAGGTATGGAATTTACAATTCAATTGAAACAATTGTCAATGAACCTTGCATTCTTACATGTCTCAGGAACTCTGGTCTTGTTACAGATGAGAAGATGTTCAGTAGTTTTTTAAAACACGAAATGCTTGTTTTGTCAAGACTTTATGCTCTCAAAGTAGAATTTCATAAAATAATGATGTTCATAAGAAATGCAAATATATTATGTTATATGGTATCATAATTTTATTCAAACACGAAATGCTTGTTTTGTCAAGACTTTCATCGTACATGTTTTGTCAAGACTTTCATCGTCAATGTTTTGTCAAGACTTTCATCGTCAATGTTTTGTCAAGACTTTCACCCGTTGAATTTTGTATAAAAAGCAACCCGCGGAATTCCGGCAGGTGGTATATTCTTCACGAAATTCTTGTTTTGTCAAGACTTTCACCCGTTGAATTTTGTATAAAAAGCAACCCGCGGAATTCCGCGGGTTGGTATATTCTTCACAAAAATGCTTGTTTTGAGGTCGAGCCACTTTTGGCTCCACCTGTTTTTTCAACCAAAACTCATTTTACTCAGCAAAAAATATATTTTAGGTGAAGTGGTGAGATCTCACCTCTTTTCTCACCTCTTTTCTCACCCGTTGAATTTTCATGAATTTTGACACTTTCACAAAAAACATAAAAAAAGTTAGTTTTTTAAAAAAAATATTTTTTATTTTTATTGTAAGAACATGTTAGCAACAACAGCACCAAACTCGTTAGTCATGAACCCAACTTCAATGTTAGTAGAGATGAAAAGCTTCATTCCTTCTTCATATACTTTCGAAACAGAAATCCAGAAGATAAAGCAAGAACTTCTCCAAGGAGATTTAGACTGTAGTGCGAAAGATGAAACAAATGAAGAATATCTTTATGAAATGCAGGATATTATTGACCATCTACCTAAACTTCCTGAAATACAACAACAAAAGCTTACTATTCCAGAATTCGATGAAATAGAAGTCAAACCAACTGACTCAGTAGAAACCAAGAAGTTCATACGTAAGGTAAACTATGAGTTTCTTGGATTTCATTGCAACCACAAAGTCATGGACAAAGATTGCGACATGTTATATAAGAACATCTCTGACATATACAAATCTGAAGAATTTAAGACCTACGACAACTTTGTTTCGTTAGTTGCAAAATGTGTATGGCAGATAAGAGATAAAGATAAAGAGGTAAAGTATGGAACGAACAGATAAAACCAGCAACTTTTGAGTTAAAGAAAACCATTGACGCCTTAGTTGTACTTGCAGGTTTTATTTCAATGTACAATGCTAAAATGAACCCACAATGTTCAAAATGTAAAGCAGCAATGAGGAAATATAACTACTCCGTCAAAGAGATAGAACGTATGCGAAACGACTATGCAGATTAAAGAAAGAAGCAGAGAAACCAGCAGAAGATAAATGGACATGTTGACATTTCTGAACAAAAACTATCCAACAGCTGACGATTTCCTTCTATCTGATGTCAAGAAGAAATATAAAGAAACATTCGGCATTGTGAAAACTTTTGACATACTGACAGAAGAAATAGAAGCTACAAAACTGTTTAGGATTTCAAATATACATCGTACAATTCATGTAAAACGCTTGTGAAAAAGAGGTGAGAAAACAGGTGAGAAAACAGGTGAGATCTCACCACTTCACCTAAAATATATTTTTGCTGAGTAAAATGACCAAATTTCATGATATAACTGTATTTTTTTGACGAAGAGAACTTTTACACTTCGTGAAAAAATCCCTGAAGTCTCAACAAAACATATACGAAGAAGTTCATTTCCTGGACTGTTGTCAAAATGTCATGTTGTCACCATTTTCAAAAGGATGTTAGTTGACCGAGGGACCGAGGGACCGAGGGACCTGGTTAGATCTAAAATATATTTTTGCTGAAAAAAATGACCAAATTTCATGATATAACTGTATTTTTTTGACGAAGTGAACTTTTGCACTTCGTAAAAAAACTCTATGAAATCATATCTTTTATACAAAATTCATGAAGAATACGATGGGTTCAGTTTAACAAACAACTCCGTCTCATTCGTTCGGTCAAAGATGACATGTACCAAATGCAAAGTATTTTGACAGCATGTTTTGCTCCAGATACCAAACATACAGACGATTGGTTCAAAAACCAAAGCACACAAGAACTTTTGAGTGAAATTTCTCTAGACCGACTTTTCTCGGCCTTGCATAAAACTCATGAAAATCGTGAAAAAATGACCAAATTTCATGATATAACTGTATTTTTTTGACGAAGTGAACTTTTACTCTTCGTAAAAAAAATCCCTGAAATCATGAAAAAATGACCAAATTTCATGAATTTCCTCATATGTTTGCGACCCTCGGAAAACCGAGGAACGAGATTCCGTACGAAAATCGTAAAAAAACTCTATGAAAATCGTGAAAAAATGCGACCGGTAGAAAACCGCGGAACGCCTAAAACTCATGAAAATCGTAAAAAAACTCTATGAAAATCGTGAAAAAATGCGACCCGCGGAAAACCGCGGAACGCCTAAAACTCATGAAAATCGTGAAAAAAACTCATGAAAATCGTGAAAAAATGCTACCCTCGAAAAACCGAGGATAGAGATTCCGTACGAAAATCGTAAAAAAACTCTATGAAAATCGTGAAAAAATGCGAGTAGTAAAAAAAAACCACTCGCCTAAAACTCATGAAAATCGTAAAAAAAACACATGAAAATCGTGAAGAACAGCGAGTAAGTAAAAAATCTTACTCGCCTAAAACTCATGAAAATCGTAAAAAAACTCTATGAAATCATATCTTTTATACAAGATAGAAAAAATAAAAAATAGCGTTAGTTTTTTTAAAATATTTTTTTTTATTTTGTATGTAAGAACAGGAAATGACAAGCACTGAGTTTGAAACAGTTAAAAAGATAGACAATGAGACCAAGGTGGTTAGAATAGGTGATTTAAACGTAAGATACTCAAAGAAATACAAAAAATATTCTTTGTCAGACATTTTAACACCATCTGGAAAGAGAGCAAAGGACTGGGTTAAAAATGCTTCATCTCAGAAAATTTTGACAAGAAATCCTGAGCTTTTGATATCGGTAAGATTTCATGGAACTACAGCATATCTCATCGACAAAAGTCTTATACCACTAGTTTTGTTCTGGATTGACCCAGTTGTTGGATATAATTTCATAACATATGGTTCATTCGATACGGAACGTTGCTGTGAAGGCTTACTTTACATCGTTCAGAAACCGAAGGACTTCAATACAAAGAGATATAAGATAGGAAGAACATTTAATATAACTAAAAGATATGACAGTACAGTCAATAGAGTTAAGGTTGTGTTTGTAAATGATATGAGAGCTGCTGAAACAGAACTGCTTGAAGTTTTTGAGAAAAGGTATGGTGCTCCCACGAAAGGTAAAGAAACGTTTGAAGTAGATGAGATAGATAGTGCTATAAAATTATTTGACGAAGTTGCTGAAAAATACATGTAAAGCGTTTATTTTTCAAGCTTGACACCAAAGATGGCTCAGGTAGCTCTATAAGGTAAATTGTCTTGTCAAATCCTTCTGGCATTCCGAGTCCTTCCTTCTGGCATTCCGAGTCCTTCCTTCCGACAGAAAAAGTTTTTCCTTCTGGCATTCCGAGTCCTTCCTTCCGACAGGAAAAGTTTTTCTTTCCGACAGGAAAAGTCCTTCCTTCCGACAGGAAAAGTCCTTCCTTCCGACAGGAAAAGTTTTTCTTTCCGACAGGAAAAGTTTTTCTTTCCAACAGGAAAAATTTTTCTTGTTGTCCGTCCGTAAACCATTCAAATTTTCGAAAATTGAGAACTTTTTGGCCGACCTTCAGGAAAAATTTTTCTTTCCTTCAGGAAAAATTTTTCTTTCCTTCAGGAAAAATTTTTCTTTCCTTCAGGAAAAGTTTTTCTTTCCGACAGGAAAAGTCCTTCCTTCCGACAGGAAAAGTTTTTCTTTCCGACAGGAAAAGTCCTTCCTTCTGGCATTCCGAGTTCTTCCTTCCGACAGGACACAAACGAATGTCCGACGTTCCACCAACCGAGTCCATTCCAAAGCCAGAAGAACCGACAGCCCCAGCACCACAACAGACTAAGACTCAAACACTTACATTTTTACGCTTGACTTTTTACAATTTGAACTTTGTTTGCGTAGATGTGAATTCTGAAAGAAGTATGAGGGTCTTGTATGACTTTGTACTTCTCCCATAGTTCATGTCTGTCAAACTTACCTGCCATGGACTCTTTCATAAGTTCCATGAAATCGTCTTCGGACAATCCGGGGAAAAGTATAATATCAGTAAGTATTCTCTTTACATCCTTACTTAAACTCTTGGCTGTCTGTACACAAATGACAACTGAAATGTTAAAGTGTCTGAGCTTCTTAGATTCGACACATGTCTTGTTCTCTGTTCTTTAACAAAGGATGAGAAGCAAAGTCATCTAAGATAAGAAGACATCTGTGAGGGTAAGTCTTCCAATCGTAAGATTGCAATTTCTTCGAAAGGTACTCAATCTCTTTCTGTTTGTTTCTGAAGTGTTTCTTCTCTAATATTCTCTGCATTTCCTCATTTGGGTCTTTAAACTTAGAATTGACATACTCATTTATAGCATTGTACTTCAAAACTCTTCTTTGGTACTTCTTTATCCAATCTAACAACTCAGTATCTTTATACATACTAACTTAGACTTTTTTATAATATCTTTGAACGAATTGACGGTTTGGTCAAATTGACCAGAAGTACTACAAATGACTACTAACTCATAGAATGGGTTCTTCTCATCTAGTTCTTGTTGTTGGCAGCCATTTTAAGATAAGTGAAAGTCTTACCCGACCAGGTGGTGCGATTAGACCTGTTATACCATTCTGAGCAAATAGGAACTTGTCATGTATGGGTTTTATCTGAGCATTTTCCAATTCCTCTTGTTCTTATTTAAAACATTCTCAAATTTTTTGTCAATGTCAGCAAACTTTTTTTCTAACATATTTTTAGAAAAATTAAAATTTTTATCTTTTAGGAATGTCTAGCGATTTCGCTATCTATATTCGAGACAAGCTTTTCGACAGCAAAACATCTGTCGACCATAAAATCTTACATAGTGTAAACAAGAAAGGTGAATTTGTTCTAAAGTTCTGTTTCTGGAATATGACAAGAACCATAAAACCTTAAGCAGAGAAGTCTTAAAATTTGTCAAT